TGCAGCCTTGATACAAAGTGGAGTATGATTATGCCAGCTCTTTCTAAAATCAACAGTGATCTTCTCTATTTTATTAACATTCAGAACCAGGTTATTTTTATCGCACCAGTCCACCAGAGCCTTCATATCCTTCCTATAAGCATCTTCCTTATCATCCCAGATAAGATCCACCACTGCTGTGTCCTCCGCATGCTTCATAATATGATTTGTTGCAGACTTGGCACAGCAGTCATGGGTCATCAAGGTGAACAATAACAGACTCAAGACACAGCCCTGTGGGGAACCCATACTAAAGGAGATGGAATTGGAAACTTTTCTTCCAACTTGCACAAACTGGAGCCTATCAAAAAGGAAATTAAATATCAAATTACATAAAGAAGTATTAAAACTTAATAGCAGTGGTGGGATTCAGCCAGTTTGCACCACTTTGGCAGAACCAGTAGCTAATTTTTTGTTGCCCAGGCCCAGAATGGACTTCCAGAAGCAGCATCCACACAGAGAACCAGTTCACTTTTTGAATGCCACCACTGCCTAATAGGCCCAGTTTGTTCACCAAATGCTGAAGAATGATTGTATTGAATGCTGAACTAAAATCAACGAACAGCACTAGCACATGAGTATTCTTCTCCTCCAGGTGCGCCAAACTAAGATGAAGCATACAAGAAAATGCATCATCTATAGAGCAGTACTTCCGATAGGCAAATTGTAATGAGTCAGATGTAGGGGGAAGGCATGAAACCATATAGTCCTTTACCAATCTTTCAAAACACTTCATCATAATGGAAGTGAGTGCAATTGGAAGGTAATAATTTATAGAATTTTTGGGCTCTGGTACAATGATTGCAATCTTAAAACATGATGAAACCACAACCTGATGCAACGAAAGATTGAAGTTGTCTGTAAGAACAGAGGCCAGCTGGTCAGCACACTCCTTAAGTACTTAACCAGGAATATTATCAGTATCCGCAGCCTTTCATGTGTTGACTTTCCACAGGATCTTCCAAACAACAGTTGTATCAAACCTGAGCACCTGTACATCAGGAAGGGGAACAGCCTTCCTTGCTGGAACATTATTTGAGGCCTCAAACCATCCAAAAAACGTATTTAGATTATTAAGAAAATCCATGTTACTCTTACATGTCGGGGAAGCTACCTTATAGTCAGTAATAACCCAAATACCTTACCACATATGCCTTGGGTTCATAGGATCTTGAAAAGAATTCTGTACTGTCTGACTATAGGCCAGTTTTGCTCTTTTTATAGCACGTCGCAAATCAGCTCTTGCTATGGTAAGTGCTATAACTGGGGGGGGGGGGAGTTATTTTTTTTTTGTCCCCGAAACCAGATAATCAGAACTCCAAACTGCACTGTAATTGATGGAATACCACAGAAAGATTACAAACAACAGAAGACTCAGTAAACTTTAACCAATCTGTGCTAACAAATCTGGACAATAACATACTGGCCGACAGATTGGAAAAAGTTAGTCTACATTCCAAAAAAAGGAGACTTAATAAAATGTGCAAGCTATTGTTCAATAATATTAATTTCATGCACTAGCTAGAATCAATTGTGAACAATAAAGAACAAGTGGAAGCTTTCATACTGTTTTTGACTAAGATAATGATGAAAGCTAAGAAGCATCAGCAAGAAGGAATAAATGATGAGATCTGCATGATGACTTAATCACAGTTGTGTCATCATTCTTATATTGGTGCAATATCAGACAATATTCTACTTTTCTTAAGATCCCAATTATGTCTTTCATAATGTTTTTGCAGGACTGCAAAATTTTGCAAGAATTAAAGACCAACCATATCGTAGATAAACAGTTCCATGCAGTTGAAATACTGTATTATTAGTTATTTGTAGTACAAATAAGCACTTAAAAGAATACAGGTAGTCCTCAACTTACAGCCACAATTGAGCCCATAATTTCTGTTGTTAAGTGAGACATTTGTTACATTTGCCCCATCTTACAACCTTTCTTGCCACAGTTGTTAAGTGAATCACTGCTGTTGTTAAGTTAGCAATATGGTTGTTAAGTAAATCTGGCTTCCCCATTGACTTTGCTTGTCAGAAGGTTGCAAAAGAGGTTCACATGATCCCAGGACACTGTAACTATCATAAACATGAGTCAGTTGCCAAGCATCTGATTTTTGATCACATGACCATGGGAATTCTGCAATGGTTGTAAGTGTGAAAAATGATGATAACTCACTTTTTTTCCAGTGCCGTCGTAACTTCAAACAGTCACTAAGTGAACTGTTGTAAGTTGAAGATTACCTGTATATGCCTCCTTTGTTTAAAAAAACATCAGTTGAGATGAGAGGCCCATCTATTAGGACAGTGTACCTTTTTGTAAGACAGGGAGATGACTTCCAAGATCTATTTCAATGTTAACATGCTGTACAGTAATTTTAGGTCTGTATGAAAATAGTAAGATGTGTGGTGTCTTTGTTAATTTTAGCCAAAACTATAAAGGATCTATGGCAAATACGTCACCATGTCATGGAAAACTTGCTCTGGGGAAACTTGAACTAGGAATTACAGCACTTTCTACTTTTCATAATATACTTTGTTGGAAAGGAGGGGGCACTAGGAGCAAACAGAGAGCAAAACTGAAATACGTAGGTGGTTTCGGAAAAGTCCATGTTGAGGGGGGGGGGAATCTGAAGGATAAGGGGGACCTTATTCACGTGACCAAAGCCCTATTTCCTTTTTCCTCAATGAGAAAAAAAGAGGAACTTCAAAAAAAATTACTTGCTGCTCCAATACGTTACTCTTCCGCCTGAAACTCTATCAAGAATAACTGGGGGGAGAGATTTTTTTTTTTTTTTTGCCCATGAAACCAGATAATCAGAACCCAAACTGCAGTGTAATCTTGGACATTTTGTGTCCCACGAAAATGAAAGCCTCTGTTCTTCAAAAGGCCCCCAGAATGGGCTGCAGGATTAAACTTCTCAAGCAGGCGAACAGGGATCACCCCACGAAGTGGAAAGCCTCAGGATGCGTCCAAGTGGTAAGACAAGAAAAAAAAATGCTTTCCACTTATTTGTGTTTCTTGCCATGAAAGCCAAGCTGGATGAGTCAATGACAAGAAGAGGTATCATCAGGGTCACATTAGCTAAAAGGAGTGTAGAGCACCTAAGTTTGCAGTTTTATGTTACATTTTAAGGTACATAATTTGGTGTAACCTGAAGTGCAAACTCTGATATACATTTCCAGCTTAAAAGGACACAGATTTCAGTTCAGAAACATCCTGGATTACTTGATTGATTATGTGCCATCAAACTGATTTTACTCTTAACCACAAAATAGATTTTTTTCTATCATGAGCTATCCCTAACCTGGTCCTTCATTGGTGTACTCAGTGCCTGAGTTCATCCATCTTGCTGCTGGTCATCCTTGGTCATCTGGTCATCCTGGTCATCTTTGTCCTTCTACCCTTCCCAGTTTTAAAGTCTTCTCCGGAGAGCTGGGTCTCCCCACAATGTATCTGAAATAAGATAAATTGAGCTTTGTCATTTGAGTCCTGAGTGAGAACTCTGGGTTGATTTGTTTGATGATCCATCGATTGGTTTTCTTGGCTGTCTACAGTATTCTCAGGAGTCTTCTCCAACACCAAAGTTGAGCAGGTAGATCTTAGCCTCTGGATATAATAACATTACAGGATATGTGTGTTTGGTTGATAATGTGTACTACTCCATCTACTTCAAAATATGAATCAGATGTCCTTATTAGAAATCTGCTCTGATGACACTGTTGGTCTAGATTGGAAATTATCAGCAGTCTTTATGTGCACAATTGAGTCTTGGCAGAGGAATAGGAGGATATACTGTAATATATCCTCCTATTAATATAATATATTCAGTTGAATCCCATTCTTGGCAATTCTCTGAGTCAGGTCTCTCCTTATCTTCCAATCTTGCACTATTTTTTTTAGTTTTTCTATGCTCTGGCTGGTGTCAGCTTTATTACTGTACTATAATTTATCTTCGGAGAAGGAAAAAATAACTTTGGTTTTTCTATTATATGCAATGGAGAATTCTACAAAACAATCATTTGAGTACTATAACTGATTGACTGATGGTGATGTAGCCAATCCATTTCCTTTTGAAAACAATAAAGCAGGAGCACCAGATTCAGAGGCTACCAAACACTTGATCAAGTATCTTCTACTAGTGTCCAGTGCTATAATCCAAGACGTTCCTAAACTGCCTGAAATTAAGACTCCCAACATGCTTATTCTGGCCAAGACAAAAAAAGCCTTGTAATCAGGCATATATTTTGATCAGCTGGTTGGGGAAGGTTAAATTAATGTTTTCATTGTGGCTATTGTAGCTACCATACCACCTCAACTCTGGGTTACATCTTTCTTTCCTAGTTCCATCGATTTTCCCAGAAGATTCTCAGATTTGCTTTGAACCATATGCAGGCACAGCCTACTAATATTTTAGTTATGGTTTTTAAGCAATTAAATGAAACCTCAACCTAACTGAAAAGGTCTCAATATGGTAGTCTTTATGTAAAATGAAATTCCCCTCAAATGGATTTCCCCAGTATGAATGATGAGATAATCGCATGACAAATCTGCAAACCAGATCTGGGATAAACATATTATTCCTCAGATGCTGTAGCAGGAATTTTATGGGAAAAACTTACTTCTAAACAGAGGATGAATCAGCTAATTTTAGATTATGGATTTAATGATTTATGAAGAGAGGGTCACCCTACTTTTATGTTTTTACCCCCATTGCTTCAATATACAGGTATGGTAAACATGTAAACATTGAGGTTTAATTCTGTAGAAAAAGAGGGGTCTTCAAAGCATATGATGTGGATGTGTACCTATTTTTCTCACAATGACACTGTCTGATGCCACCAATGTTTTATAAATATACAGTTGTGGCTTAAATACACTAGCATCCAATTTCCTGACTTTCCCACTAAATGTTTCTCTCTAGCTTTCTCTCTAATTGTGCTAATCTTCTTTCTAGGTGCAGTTCTCCTCCTCCTCCAAGTTTTTCTCAAGTTTGACATCCTTCTTGCTGCCCCTTCAGTTGGACTCCAAGAGGAGAAGGGATCTGGGCTTGAAGCCACTGAAAAGAAGCTGGATCTTCAGAAAGAATTTAGCATGAGCTTAAAACTCTCACGGCAACTTCTTCGCAAAACAAAGGACCTTACAAGAGACTACGTAAGTCTACTATCCTATCTTCTCAAATATTGTAAGTTAGCAGCGACAAATTAAGGAGAAGGCAGCTCCTACTTTTGAATTAGTTCTTCCATTCTCTTTTTTGTGTCCAATTTATTAACCAATCATCATCCTTTCTAGGGCTATAGTCTATCTGGGATGCCCTTACAACTATTTGCAAACTACAATTGGTCCTATGTCTTTACTCTTGTTGTTGGGAGTATATAATGTTGGTTTCATGGCCCTGCACTGGTTAGTATCAGTATCTGAGTACACTTTAAGATATAAACTATAAACCATTTTATGGCTTGGCAACTGTGCATCTTGTAGGACTGCCTACTCTAATGAATATAGGCTCAGTGAATTAGATCAGAGAATATCTGGTAGTGATGTCACATTGGGAAACTGAAGCAACACATTTCTGCTTTTCAATGGCAATGTCTATGCTATGGAACAAGCTTCCCATAGAAATTAGGTCCCATCCTTGTCATATGTGTTGGAAGCCTCTGTGGGAAGAATCCAGAGAAAGAAATATTTTGGGGAATATTAAAAAGGCAGAATATATTTCCCCAAAGGAATAATGGAAAAGATCTTTAAAAAGGACAGAAACCAGCCCCAGTCCCTCTCCCCCAGGCAGAAAACTCAGCAGAGGCCAGATTTTAGAAATGCAAATTCAATAATTCTTTCAGAAAGGTTTGAGCCTTCCAGCTAGAAACTGAAGAAATTAGGAAGACAAAGACCCCTAAAATCTACATACCTCCACCAAAATTCTAAGGACAGGAAACATAATACCAAAAGGGCACACTAAGACTCAAGGCAAAGTACATGACATACAAAGCCTCAAACAGGAAGAACTCCAACCAAAAGCCCAGAAGGTATAAAAACCCACCACTCCTAGCTACATGTGGTCAGTTTTTCCCACAGCCATCTTTCTGTCTGGCTTTCCTCTTCAATAAACTGCAACCTTCTTTCTAAAGCAGTCTCCATTTTGTTTATTCCCAGCTTGGACTGGACCCTGATGAAGATTTTTCTTTCAACACCTCTTAAAGGGGGAATTGATTTGAGAGCCTTACCCCAATTTTATAATGCCATCTTTACTTTCTTTTGATAGTTCATAGTAACATGTTTGTATGTTACGGTAGTATTTTACTGTTTTAGAGAAGTAATAGCAAAGGTATTTTACTTAGTTGTACTTGGATTTTATTGTCTAGCCAAACAGAAATGTGAAAAATAGATAAACATATATAAATATAAATCAATAAATATCAGTAAGGATGGAATAATAATTGTTTCTGTCCCTTATGTGGCAGACAGAAATTGGTGATTTGATCAGAAGAAGGCTGCAACCCCAGGGAAGAGGTTGGGCACTCTCAAATCCCTTCTCTCAGAACCCCCTCCCCCCATGTCACAAATTAAATGCTCTGTCTTAGAATGCAGTTTGGGAATCATTACTGCCACCAACATATAATTATCCTGCACTATTCTGCCTTAGTCAGGCCTTACTTGAACTATTGCATTCAGCCCTGCACACATCAGTTTAATTGTGGCGATTGTTATGCAAATGCCGTGGTCGTTAAGCAAGCCAATAGTTCCTATGGGTTGATTTTGCCAAAAATCAGAAGTAAATGCTGGCTTTCGGCAAAACTGTTGTAAAATGCCAAACAGTCATATCTGTCGGCCAGTTGCCAAACACCTGAAGTGTGCCGACGTGATCACAGGGATAGGAGGAGGCTGTCAGAACTTCAAATCCATTATAACTTCAAATGGTCGCTAGTGAACTGGTTTTAAGTTGAGGACTACCTGCAAAAAGGAAATAAAATCTACACTACCACTTGACTTGAAGTGTTGAAGTATATTGCTAAGGAAATCAGTCCATCTTTCTCTGTGGGGAAATAGGCCATTCTCTTAATAAACATATAAAGCCACATTTAAAAAAAAAAAGAAAGAAAGGGAAAATGGAAGTCAGAGTTTCCTAAATATTATGTTTGGGAAGAGAAAAATATAGGGCTTGTCAGATCAGAGATAGATGAACCACCAAGAGAAAAATTATAGAAACAGACAAAATATGCATTTTCTCAAATATATAAAAATAGATAAGATTCTGAGAAGACCCCAATATGATGCTGATGACTCAGAAGCAACTGTGATATAAAGAGGTCTTGATCCATGTAAAGCACATAAGGAATGATCCTGTATAGAAACAATAATTTCCAGGGGAAAAAGATTATTTAAAACAAACAGAGAGAAAAGAAATTTTGCATAGCTTTTTAGCTAACTTTTATCATTCCTCTAGAAATCAAAATCTGGAAAATTCTTCCTCCTGAAAATTCCAATTTTAATCAGAGGGTAGAGTAGAATCTTATTCTCTCGTTGCTCATCCCCATCCCCAATGTGCAACTTCTGACTTATTTGTTTGATTTATATCCCACCCATTGTAAAGGGGTTTGAGGTGTCATATATCACATTCACTCCTCCTCTTTCCAGTGGTGGGATTCAAATATCTGAACAATCGGTTCTCTTATTGGATGCAAGCCTGGGCCTCGGAGGCCTAGAACAGACTTAAGGAAATGGTGTCCATGCACTTCTGGTGGGCCATTCTAGGCCTCTGAGGCCTAGAATGGACTTCCGAAAGTGACATCCATGTATTTCCGGTAGGCCGTTCTAGGCCTGGGAGGCCTCCAGGCCTCCTCCAGGCCTCCCAGGCCTAGACTGGACTTCCAGGAACAGTGCACATTCAGCCAGTACTCCGAACTCAGCAAAATTTATCTACCGGTTATGCCGAACTAGTGCAAACCGGCTGAATCCCACCACTGCCTCTTTCACCCACAATAACAACCTTCTGAGGTGGACCGAGATAGAATTACTGGCCCAGGCTCATTCAACGATCTTCCATGGCTGAGAGGAGACCAAAGAACTGGCCATACATATGTGGATATGTGGAGCATATGTGGATATGTGGAGAATAAAGTGGAGAAACTTACAAAATTTCCACCCTCATTGAGCTAAACAGATGTTTTAAATATGTTACTTCTAGTATTGATTAATAAATTGACCAAATGAATAAAACTGAGCAACTGACTAATAAGATCTAAATAATAGGATTTTAAAAAATGTGATTATCATCTTGTCTTCTAAATGAAAGGTGAATAAAATGTGAGAAACTTTCCAGTCAAAAATTAGATTTGGGTGCAGGAAATAATTTCACAGTACTTTTATGGGTGTGTTTTTTTTCTTATAAGATTTGATTGAGAAAAGTGCTATGATGCACCCAAAAGTCAGTTTAAAAGGTTCTATTGAACACTCTTTCAAAGTCAGAGTGTTGCTGTAAAAAAGTCCTTTCTTTTGGAAAATTCAACATTTGGATGCATGTTTTCAGTAGTTTATCATTTGGCCCCTAGAGGCCAGTGATGTAACATTTTGCAAAGGAACTCTACACTTGTGCTTCTTTTTCTTGCACAAGTTTTCTTCATTTTCTTATCTATGCATTCACATTCCTTCTCTATCAGCTTTTTTTCCCCAAGGCATTCATCACTTCCAGAGCTTGTCCCCAGGGAATGACTGGGAAATTCTGGGAATTGATTCACTTAACAACTGTGGGAAGAAAAGTTGCAAAATGGGGGGAAACTCACTTAATAACTGTCTTGCTCAGCAATGGAAATTTTGGGCTCAATTATGGTAATAAATCAAGGACTACCTGTATTTTCCATTTTGGGCTCAAATCTTCATATTCTGTCTCCCAGGCAATCTTACCACATAGGATTGTTGTTTAATTCAGACAGAACCAGTCCATAATGTACATCACCATCTTGGTAGAGAAACTGAAATTTTGAATTGTTGTTGTTGTTTTTGCTGCTGCCTCCATCAAATCTTTTTTTCCAAATCTGAAACTTTTCTGTTTTGTAATGTGAAATTTGTAACTGGGAATTAGTAATGTAAAACGTAGGACAAGGCAGATAGACTCAGTAGATGAGACTGAGAAGCCAACATATATCGCTTACCTTTAAAAGAACAGCTCAGATTTGCTTTTTTTTTTTTTTTTGCACTGAGTAAAACAAAAAAACCAAAAACCTTGCTCTTCATAAAACAGTGCTTCTTCTTCCATACCTGAGTTACTATAGTATCTGTAGCCGCCACTGTTAAGGTAGATTTTGACTTATGACTGGTCACTTAATAACCATTTACGATTATGACCAATCTGAAAAAAAAAAACTATTTATAACCCGGATTCAAAGTTCAATTATCCAGAGTCCATATGACTGAATTTTGGGCGCTCACCAACCAGCCTGCATTTATGGCCATTTGCAGCAGCCTGCAGCTATGTGCTTGCCTTTTTATGACGTTTTCTTTGAAAAACAGAATCTGAATCTGGTTTTTGGAAAAAATGCACCCAGACTGAATAATGGGTTTCCTTAACCATCCCAGTGTTATCTTAACAACCACCTTTTTACAATCCTCATAACTTACAACCGTAATGGGCAGGCTCCATTAAGGTTGCAACTTGAGGACTACCTGTATTTAAAGCAGATACTGATTCTTGGAAAATATACTGTACTTGATTAAAGATGCAGAGCTTTATTATCATATGTCCTTATCACTCAAAACCTCCCCTTTGGGTTAACTGTTGGAGTTCTCTTGAAACCTTGGCCCTCTGCATTTTATCCCACCTCCCTCAGGAATCCAGCAGTAAAAAGTTCAACATTCTTGGAGTGATAGCTGTGAGTTATCACACCATTCTCTAGTCAAGTAATATATGCTTCTTCATGCTTTGCTACAAGGTTGGTTGAAAATCTGTTTACAGTCATATTCACTCTCTTTTTCCAGCTTTTGGACCGTTTATCTGGAGCTGAGGTCCCTTTTATTTCCCACTTGAAGCACCTTCCCTCAACCAGCATTGATTTTCACACATGGATCTCTCTTTCAGTAAGACGATATAAATATATTTTTACCTTTGCATTTTGTAATAATTTTATTCAATAAAATTCTCAAAGTTCTTCCAAAGGCTAATGAATGAATAAAAGAAAGAAAGAAAGAAAGAAAGAAAGAAAGAAAGAAAGAAAGAAAGAAAGAAAGAAAGAAAGAAAGAAAGGCATTTATTACAAGCACCAATCACGAAATACATCAGGTTGAGCCCAGATTAAGCCTTGTGTATTGGGGTTACAAAAAGACTGGATGTCCCGCAATGAATTAATTTTCAATATCTCCATCACCATCTAGTAGCCTTGTGATTTTTGAAGTCTAGCTATGATAGGTCTCATCTTTCAAAAGTCAGAGTACATCAGTTTTTAACATGGTGCTCTCAAAGTGGCAAATTTGATACAAGGCTTTTGAATGAAGGTAACTGAAGTATCACTGTAAAGTTCCACTCTTACTGGTAATCATCCACCAGTGCCTAGAGAAAAAGGAACACGTTCATGTTCCTTTTAATAAGGCAACTTGATGGTTGGAAGCCAGAAATAATGGATTCAATTAGCTAGGAAGACAGGATACTTAATAGCTGGAAAGAAGGCAGTACCTATTCACCAACTTATATAATTAACCTGTTCTTCTATCAAACTCACTGTCTCCACAAAGAATGCTAACAATTGTAATTTATTTATAGCACAATCAATGCTAAGTAACCCTCACAGAAAACTTGAGTTCTAAACAAGTCAAGAGTGTTGCATGCTTTTAAGTTGCTTGCAAGGACTGCCCAAAAGTCACAGCTAGCCAGCATCAGTATTCTAGGTGCTTATTGGATAATAACCAATGTCAACATCACAGCTGCAGTTCATCAATTTTTGGAAGCCTCCAATTACAGTTGTGTATTAATAAATGCACTCTTGTAAACCATAGCATCCACAGGGAGAAAAACAAATATAGACATGCACATATCATTCAAATATTGTGAGATGTATTGTACTTGCAAACGATGTCATGACGTTACTACAATTGATTCATTTGCATAATAATGTTTTGATGCACTTAACATTTTGATGTTATTAAGAATTGTCATGGACACCTCTGTTGTAAATTTTTTTAGTACTGATTAAAATAATTCTCCAGAAGTTATGGATTTTCACTTCTCCAATACTGGAGGTTTTTAAGAAGAGATTGGACAACCATTTGTCTGAAATGGTATAGGGTTTCCTGCTTGAGCAGGGGGTTGGACTAGAAAACCTCCAAGGTCTCTTCCAACTTTTTTTTCCCTGTATTCTGTTATTCTGACTAGTTTTGCTTGGAATGGAAATTTTTGGATCAAAAACGCTTAGTAAATTGTGTGGTACATTTCACCAGGCAATATAGGTATGGAACTAAGCAAACCATTTTCAGCCAGAATATGGTAAACTACCACAAGTAACATTTTCTTGCTAGAGTGAAGTTCCTCCTGTCTCCAATTCTTAATGTGTTTGTTGAGATGGATGGCAGGGAGCTTCCCTAATATTTTTCAGAGCTGCCCATTTTGACAATAATGCTTGGATACCTCAGCGGTTGACTTTGTTGTGTTTGCGTTCTAACCCTTTCTTCCCTCCAGGATGCCAGACGCCTGTCGCAGATAGCCAAGACCCTTTCATTTTATCACAGATTGGTACAACAGCTGAGGAACTTTGAAGCAATCAAAGAAAATTCTGAATTCTCCTCTCAGTTCGAAGATATTGATATTAACCTCCGAGATCTCAGTCATCAAGTGGATTACCAGGTAGCTTGCCTGTTTTGGGGGGAGCTCAGGTGAGGGAAAAGCATCCTTTGGCTTTGGCCATGTTATTCAGCTTTCATTTTTCCTATAGATTACACTTTGTGGCCTGTCATCTAATATCCAGCCTGAATCAACTCCTCAGATCCTTCAACACCACAGTCAGTGGACGAACCGCCAAGAAGTATATATTGTCCTTCGTTCTCTCGAAAGCTTCCTGGTTCGTGTTGCACGAGATTTTTTGATGCTCAGGATGAGGGTGCCCAAAGTGGCTTCACCTTCCAAGTTTTTCTAGTCTTAACATTTCCTGTTTTAATCCCCATCACCCTATTCCAAACAGCCAAGGAATGCGGGCATCCTGGTATTTCAGTGACAATGCTGTTCTGTAAATTATCTAAATTATCTATTTTATATATTTATTTATTTTTTCTAAGTATTTTATTATTTTAACTTATTTGTTAAAGCAATGCTTTGGCTAGGTTCACATAAGCAACTGTTTAAAGACTGCACTTTCTCAAAACAATGTGACAAAATAAAAGTATTTTTTCCAAAGGTCAGAAAGAATTGGCAACAAGTTTGCAGGGAATTTTAAATATTGTGTTTATCCATAAAAATATGGGTGGCTACTACTTTGCTTCATCTAATTTTTTTTAAAATGGCTATTTATTCAAATGGGGCAGAGAATCGTGAGGGTATCTACAGAAAGATATATAATATATAATTCCAATGGATTATGGGTAAATGATTCTGAAATTTTCTAAAACAGATCTGAGTAAATATGCATATGCCATAAAATATATGTCTTGAGTGATACTGCCTTTTCTAAGCTTGAACTGGCCATTTCATGCTTTTAAATTTTTGGTTAATAAAAGTATTATTTAAATTTGATTGCCTGATTAATTGGTTAATCAAAAGAGAGTTTGTCATGTCATATAATAATAATAATAATAATAAAATAGTAGTAGTAGTAGTAATAATAAAGTTGGAAGGGACTTTGGAGGTCATTGTGCTCAGGCAGGAAGCTCTATATCATTTCAGATAAATGGCTGTCCAGTCTCTTCTTAAAACTTCAAGTGTTGGAGCATTCACAGCTTCTGGAGGCAGATTATTCCACTGATTAATTGTTCTATCTGTCAGGAAATTTTTCCTTAGTTCTAGGTTGCTTCTCTCTTTGGTTAGTTTCCACCCGTTACTTCTTGTCTTGCCTTCAGGTGCTTTGGAGAATAGCTTGACTCCCTCTTCCTTGTGGCAACCCCTGAGATATTGGAACACTGCTATGATGTCCTCCCTCGTCCTTCTCTTCATTAAACTAGACATACCCAATTCCAGCAGCTGTTCCTTATATGCTTTAGCCTCCAGTCCCCTACTCATCTTTGTTGCTCTTCTCTGTACACTTTCTAGAATCTCAACATCTTTTTTACATCATGGTGACCAAAACTGGATGCAATATTCTAAGTGTGGCCTTACCAAGGCATTGTAGAGTGGTATTAACACTTCACGTGATCTTGATTTTATCCCTCTGTTAATGCAACCTACCACTGTGTTGGCTTTTTTGGCAGCTGCAGCACACGGCTGGCTCATATTTAAGTGATTGTCCACTAGGACTTGGAGATCAGTCAATTAGTCTGTATTTTAACCTAAAATCCAATGTCAATATATTTAAGCAGTATATAACATTGTATTATATCTAGTGCTTTTTTTGTAAAAAAAAAAAAAAAAAGTGCCGGAACTCACACATGTCATACAACCTGCCTTGCCTACCTTACAAGGTTCCATCCAAAAAAGGTGCTCTGTTCTGGGTGTTCTACGACGAAAAAAAAAGCCCTGATTATATCTATTTAACTCATATTCATCAGCAAACGAAAATCTTTTGTTGCTGGCTGAATTCACTTGGTAGAGGTTTCCTGTTTGGTCCTAATTCCATTGTGAAACTCTACTGACTTTCCTAAGGCCTCTATCTTGACCCCTTTCTTCAGGCTTTCTCTTTCTCCTCTCAGAACTCCTCTCTATGGTGAAGAAAATATGATAACTATATATATAGTTATCTATATAATCCGTAGACTTTGTCCTTTTAGTGCTGAGATCTATACTTAATAAGGTTTGTTACCTTTGACCTTGTAGAAATGTTCAGAAAGAGCTTCATTATTAGCATTGCCTTTAAATAAGCTGCTAGATTCAATTTTGAGATAGGAAATTTAAATAGCAACTCTCTAATTAGCAAACCTCAAATGAAAAACTGCAAAGAAATCCTCAGGTAAAAAGGAAAAAGATGGTTCCTTCAAAACCACCATAAACATCTTCTTAGATCCCAGGGAGCTATTGAAGGAACCAACTCTTCTCCTACCCTGGAGATTCATCAACCTCTGGATTAAAGAAATGGATGCTAAAGAGGAAAAGTACAGTTTGAAAGAGCTGGACTTTCCTATTGCCCAAACTAGAACAATTCTGGAAGACATTGGACAGGGTCATAGGATATAGGAAGTGCCCGCACCAGCCTGAAGTGGCCAATAGATGCTAAGCTGACCCCACCTCCAAAATCACCACCACCAGCAGCAGAATGGATGAATAAATTGAAGATAGCACTCATCTAAAAATTACCATGGGCTATTGCCCACTTAAGGGGGAAAACCAACTTTAACACTGGAACAGTTAAGTCCATATTGCTTTAGGCTCCATCAGATATGAGTTGGAAATCTGAAGGCGTTATTGCAGACATGTCAAACACAAGGCCCAGAGGCCAGACGCGGCCTGCGAAGTGGTTTCATGTTGCCCGCGAAGCCATCCTGGAAACAGTGACGGAACAGCCCCCGCTGCCTTGGCCCTGGCCCTGGCCCTGGCCCAGGCTGGCTGGGAGCCAATGTACAATTTTGTGATGGCCATCTATGCTGAAACGCATTCAGTCTTAGCTCCACAAGGCTAAGACTGAAGAAACAGTGAGGAACCAGCCCCTGCTGTGTCAGCCCCACCCCCTGGGTGCATGCTGGGGAGGTGTCACCCTTTGTGAGGAATGAAGAAATGGACCATTTCTTGGTGCTTGCCCCGATCCCACCACCTTCTTCCAGAGACCTTCAGATCTGTCCCACTCCTGTCCAGGCCCCCACAGACACCTTTGACATGAACGATGTAGAGCTGGCCATGCCCACCCAGTAGACCACACCCACTGTATCCACGCCAACCCAGTAAGCCACACACACCCTGGCCACACACACCCAGCCCCCCCCCCGAGGACAACCACAATGCTGATGCAGCCCTCAATGAAATTATAGGGATGCAGCAGGAAAAAAAAATTGCCAGGGTTCATTTGCCCTATGTTTACATACAAGTGACAAACAACTCAATTAATTATCTCTTTGTGAGAAATTACTGATGAGTCTTTAAGCAAATGGTTTGACAACTGCATTTTACTGATTTATTTAAGAGTTCAAGGCCAGTTGACTGACAAAGCTCGCAAATTTTTATTGTATCGCAATAATACATTATTGTATACATTTACATTTACTCTACTGTAGCAATACAATAAAAGATAACAAAAAAACTTAGCTTAAATACTAAGAACGTCATCTTATTCTTAAACCAATTAAAAGTAAAAAAAACCCAATGGTGAAAGCAAAAACTGAAAACCAAATGAAAAGTAGCAATTAAATTTGAGTAAAATAAGTAAAAATAAAACCATCATTCCCAAGCCTGAAAATGTAAAAATGTCTTCAACTGGATCCAGGAAAGTGGTCCTGTAGCCGTTGGCCTGAGAACAGCATTTTCACACTTGAAAAATGAATGATTGCAAGACCAGCCCAATTAGGTAGTTATCTCAACTGGAGTCTTTTTCACAAAAGTCCATTACATTCAAGCTTAGGCCAAGTTATTTGGGTGAAAACCTGCAGGTAGAAAATCCTACAAGCATCTCTATCTTCTCCTGGAAGCAAAAGTAGAGCAGTCAAATATTTGTTATCTTTTCAATTTGTTGCCTAAATCCTAATCTGGGTAGTGAGAAAGGTTGTGGTGGGAGGGACAATATGGGAAAACTCTAACAGATGGGGTAAAGATGAAATAAGGTACATGCCATTCACTGCCACTTCTCTTCCGTAACTTTAGCTGTTGGCCTTACAGCATAAACCAGATAGGAATCACAACCAGATGAGCTAATTGTACTTAATTGTAAAGTTACATTGACAGAATCTTACAAGTTACAAAATACATCTCTCCTCTCTCCTTTACAGCCCAAGAAACTAGGGAGGGTCCCTCCTCTTGCCCTGCCCATTATCCAGATGAGGGCTCTGCTCTCTCTTATCTGACTGTCCCCTTGGCAGCATCTCTTGGTCTAGTCTTCCAAGCTCTTTCCCACATACTATCATAGTAGCTTATCATAGAATCAGCACACATTTCTTGGATTCAAGTTGTACAATAATCTCTTCAGACATGTTTTAGGTTCACTGAACTCTTGTAAAATAAAGAATGAGTTTAAACTGATGCATGGTGAGGATAGACTCCATACCATAGGGTGGAATCTAAAGATAGCCCTTCCAAAATTGTTAGGTAGTTTCCACCGAATTACTTCCTCCCTCCCCCCCCCCAAAGTATGATATGAATAGAATTGCAACAGCACTAGCACTTAGACCAATGTTTCTCAACCTTGACAATTTTAAGGCATGTGGACTTCAACTCCCAGAATTCCAGAATTGCTGGTTGTGGAATTCTGGGAGTTGAAGTCCACATGCCTTAAAATTGTCAAGGTTGAGAAACATTGACTTAGACATATATATCACTTCATAGTGCTTTACGCTGCAGGGCTTTTCAACCTTTTCACAGATTGTACCACTTTTAGGACATGACAATATTCGAGTACCACCAGTATTTAGCAAGGTGTCAAAAACCTGATGACTAAAAAAGGGGGGGATTTTAGGCTTTACTGGTTAGATTCATTTATTGTTATAGAAATGGCTAATTTATAATATTATGGAAAAGTAAAAAGTTGATGTTCAATGTTAATGTTTCCTTCTACTGCAACAGAGGAAGTCAGAAGACAATGCCTTTTCTTTTCTTTTTCCCTTCTCCCTTCACTTTTCCTTTTTTCTCTCACTCTTCACTCACAAAAGCCCCCCTATCCTTTGCTTGCAAAAGCCCGTCACTCGCTTTCTCACTTACACTTTGCTCGCAAAAGCTCCTTGCTCTTTCATTCACACTTTGCTCGCAAAAGCCTTTCACTCACTCACACTTAGCTTGCAAAAACCTCACTCATTCATTTTGCTCACAAAAGCCTCTCATTCGTTCTCACTCACTCACTTTACGTGCAAAAGCTTCTCGCTTGCTCTCACTCACTCACCCTTTGCTCACAAAAGCCCCTTGTTATCTCTCTCACTCACACTTTGCTAGCAAAAGCCCCTCACTCATTCACTCTCTCACTCACTTTGCTTGCAACTAAATTTCATTTTTGATGTGTGCCATCGTGCCCACAGTATAAAAATGACAATAAAGGTTATCTTATCTTAAAAGCCTCTCGTTCTCTCACTCTGCTCGCAAAAGCCTCTCACTTGCTCACTCACACTTTGCTCACAAAGGCCTCTCACTCACTCATTTACTCACACTTTGCTCACAAAAGCCTCTCACTCACTCACCCTTCACTCACAAAGACTGCTCGCTCGCGCTCTCCTCACTGCTTCACTAACTGCTTCACCTCTTCTCTCTTTCTCCATGTTTCTTTTTCTCTCCCTCTCCTGCCCAAACATGCTTTTATAGCTTCTCCTCTCTCTACCCTCCTCCTCTTCCGGGT